CAGTTGAAATGGTCAGACATATCCGTAGGTTCTATGCTAATAATTTCTTTTCTCACACTTCTCGCTTGTGGTACCCTCTTCCGGTTTCTTGCCTTCCAATCAAGTTTTGATCATCAAAAGTTTAAATGCAATATCAATCGTTGTCTTCTGTCTTTTCATTCCTGTTCTTTTATTGTTCTCTCTCTTTGATAATGTTTTCTTTTTCTCATATTCTCTCCTACTTGCGTCTTAGTGGCTTTATTACCTTGCTTGGGGTGAAATGATTAACAGAATCATTCTTCATTATCTTCTTTGTTGAGCAAAGGAAATGGTTTTGAAATTTGTACTCGCGTGTCAAAGACAGTAAATTCTGATTTCCAACAGACTGTTAATATATTTTGCATGTTAACGTGCAAGCTGGGAAATGATTTTCCTATTATCCAGATGTTGTTGCCAGACATAAAGAGAAATTAGCTTTCGCAACATAGGTGCCTATTTCAATTTCATTCTGTGTGCGTATGTACGTTTGCGTATGTGCATGTGTATTTTAATTTGATAACATCCCTAAAATATATCTAAAAATTAAAAAAAAAAACTTTAAAAAGTATATTTGTTACAGAATAATTCTCGAAAAGTTCATTAAAATTTTATAATTATCAGATTCTTTTTCGGATTTTAAAAAGTCTTTTTTTTATGATTCTCTTGCTCAGCACAGGTTATGAGTCGTCTACACTGAGTGGAAGGGGAATGTATTATTCCAGTGTCTTGTGTGCGCATGTTCGTTTGCTTCTGCATCCGTTAAATAGCACAAGGAGATTTAAGTCATTTACATACAACATAGACATACGTGTGTGTACAGACATGTAGCGAGTGACGGACCGAGTTATAAGCTTTTTTTATAATGCAGATCTACCTTCGGACTATTGTTCTCATCTTTATTATGATCTAAACGTTGTGATCTGCAGCATTATACTATTTTTTTATAACTGACCCATCGCCCGGTTCACACTCTTCGCCGGTCTTTTGAATAGAGGTAGATGTTGACCGCTTGTTTTCTGTTTAGGACTGGGTTGCCGGTTCCTTCTAAAGTCAAATTCATATCTATATTTCTAACATTTCCACCTAAACATTGAAATCATTTTTTACTATTTATTTATTTCTCAATAGCAGTACGTTAATTCACCTACAGTCTTTTTCACAGGTGTAGAGGTTTATTCCTTGTTTCTTATTTAATAATAATTGCTATAAAATAGTGGAAACAAATGTCTGTCATACGGGTTTCTTTGTGTTCACTCCAGCCACTGAAAATAGAGATGTGTTCTTGTGAGGTGACCGGCTGTTTGATAAATGCAATCCCAGGTAATTCTCTGACAAACCTCCTTGTTAAGCCCGATTCTCCTTGTGTCTCGCAGGTGTAGTGGACCTTCGTTCACATAGATGAACCCCGACTAACATTTGATATTGATATATCTAGTTTCTCCACCCCGACCGTCTTAATCTTATGAAACCTGTTAATAACCACATGGCGTTCTCTTTGCTTTTTCTTTCCTTTCTTTCTATAAAGATAATGGTGCTTTGTGGTTGACAGCATCAATATATACAAACCACAAGTTTGGGAATTAGACATAACCCAGATGCTTTCATTGTTTAAAAGAATTTGGGTAATTCTTTTCTGTAGGAACATGCACGTTTTGGACAGATAGTATGAATGTAAACAAACCACAAGGTTGGTATTTAAGCACAACCATGATGCCTTCTTTGTTTAAAAGAATTTGGACCACCCTTTCTTGTAAGAATATATACGTTTTGGACGGATAGTATGTCTGTAAAGAAAACCCCGAATTTAATATCCCAGGAACAAAAAATCGGAAGACACATTAATCTTGTCTTCTCCTTTTCGTCAGGCAATGGATACGTTGGAGAACGTTAGTCTTGCTCAAGTTTACTCAATATTGGCTAGTAAATTCCGGTTTCAATTCTCTTTCGAACCGTTCTTAAGGTCATCTTATTGTTTAAAAGATCAGTCATAGCACATTCCTTTTTTCATTTTTTTTTCAACCAGTCAACCTACTCTCCTGAGAATTTGAATAATTTGAATAATTATTATCCAATTAGTAGTCCCTCTAAATCATCATCCTATAATTAAACGAAATTAAACGTTAACGGAGTCAGTTCTCTGTTACCCATCTTTCGCTATTCCGATACGCCTTCGGATTTCCATATTAACTTTCTGGTGCCTACTTCTCTTGCTATCCATATGTCATATCAGTGTTAGATTTGTCCGGGGTTCTTTCCTTATTAGGTGTCACAGAAATTGACATGGTCTCTTTCTTATTGTAAGTATACGTTTCCTTGTAGTTTCTGTTTTTCTCAAAACTTCCTCGTTACTTAGCATTCGTCGGTAGAACTACACCTGTGTAGCTTTAAGTCTCTTTTCTATCTTCGAAGAAATTATCCAACATTCGCTGTCATGTAGAGCATTAGATATTATGCAGTAGTTCAGTATATTTTTCTTGATTTTTTACGATTATTGTATCCCTTAATACTTTGCAGTGCTTCCGGTATCAATTAACCTCAACAGATAAAACTTTGAAATTGCATTGTGGTCAAACATACACACTAGTCCTGGGCATGACGATAAACTACATCTGGCAGCAAGGCCGCTGATCAGGAGATTGGAGGTTTTTGAGGAGCGTGGAACCACCTCTTAATTGCTGTGGTTCCCAGGCCCACCGTAACCCGAGGTAGTAGCACCTGTTAAGGTGACAGCTATGGGCAAATAGTGAACCCTCAAACAAAATCAAAACACTATGAAAGTATAAAAATAATTATTTTAGTAAAAATACCAGCAATACATTTTTATATAAAAAATTATCAACAATACATATTTATAGTAAAATGACTAACAAATTTTAAAACAAAATTACCGACAATATATTTTATACCAAAATGATCAGCTAAATGACTATATACAGGGTGACCCCCCAAAAAAACGGGAATTTTTGAAGTGCGTATTGCCAGACATGAATGAGCAAGTGGCAACACTGCGAGACAGTGACCTTGAGCAAGTAAACATTTCGCCATTTAGAATTCAAGATGAAATTCACAGTATCCCAGCTGAGATGTTGCAGTAGTCAATGAGGAATCTCAACAGCAGATTTCAAGAATGCATTCGTACAGGAGGACGCCATCTACAGGAAGTAATTTTAAGAAAATGAAAATTCCATCATTGTTTCTTAAATGGCATGTTTTAAGGTTTCAACTACTATGAATAAAATATTTTTCTTCCATCACTCTTGGTTTTATTGGATTGTTAAAAAGTTCCCGTTTTTTGGGGTCACCCTATATTTATAGTAAAATGATCAATAATACATACTTATCATAAAATGACCAGCAATACATTTTACAGCAAAACTACCAACAATTCATTTTATCTGTAGTTGAAGGCATACAACAGCGATCAAAATAAATATTTAGATTTCGGCATTAAATGACCTATAGAGGTGTTAGTATGCCGCTAAACAAAATCAACCAACAGACCAACCATACTGGGACTACTAATAAAAATGACACAAACATTTTTGTGTCATTATATGGAGACAATTTCTTTTCTCTTAACAGAAATTTCTTTGTTTGCCTCAAATGTGAAACTAACAGCAATTTAGTTGATGGCTTCAACTAAATATACAGGGTGCCTCCAAAAGATTGACAACAGTTAGTAGTCTAGTAACTGCCAATTCTCGTTCAAATAATCCCAGATTTTAAGAAAATGTGTAAAAGCTAAGTAAGTTGACTGTGCCAACTTATCTCAATGAGAATCTACCAGGAAGATGGATCGGCCGTGCCACTGATACTGACAATGTGCTGTTGAAATGGTCATGTGATTTTTTTTTTTTGTCTATGGGGGATTTGTGAAAGGATAGGTCTATATCCCCACTTTTTGTACAATCCTAGAGAAACCTAAGCAGAGAATTGCTGAGGCGTTGGAGAATGTTACACAAGACAGGCTACAGCGTGTTTGGCATGAGCTGGATTAACGACTTCACGTGTGACATATCACAAGTGGTGCGCATATTAAACAATTGTAAAGCTTTGTGAAATCGGTTATAAAATGTACATCCATTTGAATATCTTGTTCAAATTTTGATAACTGTTTTATTGTTCAACATGAAGCCTATTTAATTTCGCTTGCCTGGGACATGTAGTTACTCAGATAATCACAATTTAAATAGTATCATTTTTAGGACACCCTGTATTTTGAACGCAATTGTATGGCTTCAACTACAGATAAAACGTATTGTTTGTCATTTTGCTATAAAATGTATTGGTGGTAATTCTGCTATAAACTCTATTGCTGGTCATTTTACTTTAAAAATGTGTTGTTCGTAATTTTACTATAAATATGTATTGTTGGTAATATTTTAATAAAAATGTATTGCTGGTCTTTTTTTACTATAAAAATGTATTATTATACTTTCATAATGTTTTACTTTTGTTTGGAGGTTCACTATTTGCCCATAGCTGGGGCCCTAACAGGCGCTACCACCCCGAATCAGGATGGACCCGGGAACAGCAGCAATTAAGAGGTGGTTCCACATTCCTCAAAATCTCCTTGATCAAAGGCCTTACTGCCGGATGTAGTTTATCGTCATACACAGGATTCTTCCAATATGGTGTCTGAATAAAACAAAACAAAACAAAAAGAAGAAATCAGATTTGCATTTCACGATTTGTGTCTCCGCTCTAGTGGCAAGTTGTTATGTAGTCTACTTCATTTATTTATGGCATAAGGCCACAGGTATGTGGTGCCCAATAAGGATCGAACTTACTAGTAATATTTAACCATGTTATACAGACTCGCCATTATTTTACGGCGAGGTGCCTACGCTTTTGCAACTGGGTGTTCACAACAAATTCTACTTCAGCTTCAATCGTTTGGTTCTCGAAGAAATTGTATATTTAAGTGTTCTTGGGGGCAAGAAGGGGGTCATGGTTTCAAGGCTATGGCTAAAAACTAAGCACTATGAAGTGAACAAAGAAAGAAAGAAAGAAAGAAAACAAAGAGTGAGGGAAAAAGTGAAAAGTAGAGAGTGGAAGAAAGAAAGAAAGAAAGAAAGAAAGAAAGAAAGAAGGAAAGAAAGAAAGAAAACAAAGAGTGAGGGGAAAGAGTGAAAAGTAGAGAGTGAAAGAAAGAAAGAAAGAAAACAAAGAGTGAGGGAAAGAGTGAAAAGTAAAGAAAGAAAGAAAGAAAGAAAGAAAGAAAACAAAGAGTGGGGGAAAGAGTGAAAAGTAGAGAGTGAAAGAAAGAAAGAAAGAAAGAAAGAAAATAGAGTGGGAGAACGAGAGAAAAACAGAGAGAGAAAGAAAGAAAGAAAGAAAGAAAATAAAAGAGAGAGTGGGAAAAAGGTGAGAAACGCAAAGTGGGAGAAAAAAGAAAGCAAGCAAACGAAAACACACACACAGATAGAAAAGCAGAGAGTAAAGAAGAAAAAGAAAGGGAAGAAAAAAGATTGACTAAAGAAAGTTATAAAGACAGAAAGTAAACGAAAGAAAGGAAAAATATAAGCAAGAGAAAGAGAGAGAGATTCATAGATAAAAACTAAAGAGAAAGAAAGAAAAATATGAGATCGATAGAGTAAATGAAAGAAAGCAAGAAAAGACATTGAAGGCGTACAGAGAGAAAAGCGGAAAGTAAAATAAAGAAAGAAAGAAAAATACAATGAAGACAAAGTAAATAAAACAAATAAATATAAGGAAGACAGAAAGAAAGAAAAATATGAGAGAGAGAGAGAAAGAAAGAAAGAGATAATGTTTGTGTGTGTCTGTGTGTACGTGTATTTCTGATTGGGTGGAACGCAGACAGGACTTTGTTCAATTCCATAACAATTGTCGATCTTTGGTGCCCAAGGTAACATTTCATTTTGTTTATTTGGTTTTGTTTGAATGTTTGAGTCTATATTAAAGGCCGTAGTGAGAAAACGTTCTTAATGTATGCGTCACATACAAGATACATGCTCGAAGATCACAACACATAAACAATACTAACACACACAAATATTTGCCTTTTCATCCAAACAGTTCATGTAAATATTGACAAATTCAAATACGTAGGAATGTATTCTTTTGAAAAATATGATATGACAAAAAGGTAAAAAAATCCTTATTGATATTTTTCGTTCAGGCTAATAATGGTTTTGCATTAATGTTCGGACATCTGTCCTCGACTTTATTGCCATATTCACGACGTTTCGGCCGTTGTACACTCCGACCCTCTTCAGGTGATTGGAATCTCGAACTGAACCCTTTATTTCGTCCACCGGAGTGGATTGTGGTAATTCCACGTGCCAAGCCTCTTCTGGATGTCCCAGTTATCTCCCTTTAACTCAGCTCTCCAACTTTTTGTTCACCACTGCAGTAGCCATGTGTCAGGTCACATGGCCCGGTGGATAAAAGCGTTGGTTGGGCCCAGTGACTTGACCCAAAGAGTTGTGAGTTCAATACCAGGCTACTGCAGTGGTGAACAAAAACTTAGAGAGCTGAGTTAAAGGGATATAACTGAGACATCCGGAAGAGGCATGGCACATGGAACTACAACAATCTATCGCGGTGGACGAAATAGAGGGTTCAGTTTGCAATTCCAATCACCCGAAGAAGTCTGGGAGGCCACAGACGATAAACAAAATCCTCTTTTCCACAAATTATAACAATTTAAATTTGTACAAAATTTGAAAAAAAAAAAAAAAACAACAGCAAAAGAAGCATTTAAACAAGTTTGAATTTTTTAAAATAACTTTGAAGCTTTTTCTATCCAGTTGTGTATTGAATGTGTGTCTGTCTCGTAGCATTTGCTTTTATTAAATTTTCGAAATCTTCTTTTTCTTTTTTGAATAGCCCTGTATTTTAGTTCTAATTAAGTTAAATCTTACTTATTATAAAACGCAGATTGTGTGTGTGTGTGTGTGTCTGTAACGTTTATATATTGGATCGAATTTCCTACATTTCTTAGCAGATTTCAACAAAACTTCACAGGACTACATAAAATTACCTTGTGATGGTTCTAACGGCGCCGAAAATGGGAAAAACAAAATTGTTTTTTAACAAAATCAATTTGAAAACACGATTAAGACACATCGTGAGAATGAAAAGGGGACAACTCACCCACGAAAATGTAAACAAAAGAGCATAGCATGATGAAAAAAAAAGCCGAACTTGACGAAAACAAAATTTTATCGTCTAATGTTCATATTATTATTAAAGAGGAAAGATCAAAGTATTTTTGGGGTATTTTTTTACATTTTTTAATCGTTCCTAGCACGTCTGAAATTTTCGTTAAAAATATTGTTTTTTTTTTTTTGGTCAAAAAAAGGACAGATAATCAATCATTTTCAATCATTTTTTTCGATTTGATAAAAAAGATTAAAATCTGACTTTGATATTCTTTTAAAAATCAATTATCATTTTTCAAAACTGATTTTAATAAAACAAAAATTATACTGTTTATTTAAAATATTTTGAACCAAGCTTAACTTAGCTTCTGCGCCGAAAAAATGTAATTTGAAAATAAAACAAAGCAGGTCATAACCTTTCGCGTCGCTTGACGATTGACGAAAGGCACATTCATGACGTTTAGATAACTTACGGGAGGATAATTCTTTCTACGGATGGAAGGAAGTGAAATTATTTAAGTGAACAAATTATTTACCTCGTTACTTTTAAGGAAAACTTTCAGCGCTCTAATTTTTTTTTTTTTTTTTTTTTTTTTGTACTTAGCTTTCATTTTTACGTTTACGATGCTTTATGGAAAATATAAAGAAATTAAAAAATAAGACTGTTAATAGTGAGATTAAATTTCATAAGAAAAAAGTATCTAATTAATTTAGGTACCTTTCTTATGAAATTTTATCAGAAGTGTACATAAAATATTATAATTTTATGTACATTTATTACATTTTACTGTGTTATTTGTATTTCCATTCATTTTATTATTAATTTTGATATTTCATTTATGGAAAAATGTCAGAGCTGAGATTAGTATAAAAATAAGATCATATAAATTAAAGTTTAGCAGTAGTTAAATTTCCTAAGATGATACTGTTACTTGTAGGTACACTTCTCAGTTGAAATTGAAAACTCAAATTAACTTCTCCATACGTGTTTCATAAAAAAGTAAAGGGCTTAACAGCGGAGAACAATGCTGAACTCAAATAATGCAACTAAATTGTATTCTGGTTGGTCTTCCGTACTTGATAATTACTGTCCGACTATAAACACAAAAATTACATTTCTTAATTACCATGGCTAATCTGATTGGTCCAAATTATACAATTTTCAAAGCGCTAGACAATGACAATCTCACACGGACATTTTGAAAGGTTGATGTTGCTTTTAACTAATGTTAAAATATTTTTAAAAATTCAATTTAAAAATTTTTGAAAAATCTTTTTAAAATTAAAGAAATAAGAAATAATTGTATTAAAAATTCAATTTTCATTGAAAAAATTTTTTGCTTTCAGAAAATATTGTCCATATTCATAAAAACAAATTAAAACAAATAAAAGCATTTGAAACTAAATAATATATTTGTTTTATTGAGTTTTGTATGTTACAATTCACAGTTGATTTTCAGGTACGTTGGCCCAAAAAAAAAAACAAAAGAAAAAAAAACCAAAAAAAACATGATTTGCATTCTTCAAAGCCTTATTGTAATCACTAAAACCGATGGTCTCGAATTTCTACAGTTTTTCATAAAATTAGTTATGGGGGTGTTAATAAATATAAAAAAAAATATTTCTGCCATGACTTTAATAAAAAAAAAAACATATTTATAGTAATTTCGATCATCTGTGAATAGTTTCTGAAAGTTTCATTAACATCTGACAATTATTTTTATTTTTGCAAGATTTTCCAAATTAATGTGTGTAAATACAAAAAAACGCGCTAAAAATTATCTATGTTATTTACTACCCCTTGTGGCGACAAAGAGAAACACGGTTTTTAAAATCAAAATTTAGAATATTCTAAAAAGATGGAAAATTTTTTAAAAATAATTAAAAAAAATTTAGTCTATCCTCTTCATAAAAACATAAGCATTTTAACGATAAAATTTTGTTTTCATAAACTTTGGCGTCTTTTTCATCAGACTATGCTCTATGTTTTTTAGCGATTCCGTGGAGTGACTTAGGTTAAAAACCCAGGTTGTTTGTGTGTGTGTGTGTGTGTGTGTGTTCCTTTATATATGGGATCGGATTTCTTACATTTTCAGCCGATAAAACAAACATCCACTTTTTTTTTTTTTTGGCAGGTAGTATTTCTTATTGTCTTGCACACTTTTTTTCTTTTATTTATACATTCAGAATGCTTTAAAATTCCATTTACAAGACAATTGTTTATAATAAAATTCTAATTCTATTCAATCGGGGACTCATCATAACGATATTGAAAACAATGTTTTTGTTTGAGTTTGACCAATTCGTAAAAAAACAAAACAAAAAAACTAAGACATGCGTGTCCGTCAACCTAAACAATAATCTAACGATCTCTACTGATTGTACGAATCGAAAAATCGGATAATTCTTTATCTTTAGGGAAAGATAATTCCACGTACTTTAGGACCGTTTTTACAATTCCCTTTGCAATTTGTTACAAGGCAGATCAATAAGGCATTGGTTCTATTTGAAATTAATTCAATATTTAAAAGAAAGTATTAAGAAATAATTTAAAAATGCCGACGTAAGAAATCTGACAACAATATTTCGAAGATGATAATTATTAAGGAAAGAACACAGTACTTGTAATAAATTAATAAACCCAAATAAAGTTAATATTTTTTGTATTAGAAACAACGAGTGGAAAATATATTCAAATCAGAATTCTAATTATGAATCACCACAAGCAAAATATGCGATTTTTTTTACTGTATTCAATAAGTAAAAATCATAAATTGTAAAAGATTACAGTGAAAGGCTACCTATATTTTTCAACCGATTTCAACAAAACTTTTTTTTTTTGGCAGGTAGTGTTTCTTATTGTCTTGCACATTTTTTTTCTTTATTTTTACATTCAGAATGCTTTAAAATTCCATTTACAAGACAATTGTTTATAATAAAATTCTATTCACCAATCGATAGACTCATAACGATTGTAAACAATGTTTTTGTTTGAGTTTGGGTTTGACCAATTTAAAAAAAAAAAAAAACTAATTAAAACATGCGTGTCCGTCAACCTTAAACAATAATCTTTGTCAATTTTATTTTTCAGTCTTTATGATGGTCGATACTTGATCTATCTCTTACTGTTACATCCCCGGGCAACGCCGGGCTCTACTGCTAGTTATGTAATAAAATAATTTTCAAGTGTATAAAGCCACACTAGTAACAAAAAAAAAAAAACTAATAGTATGCATTTATGCGCAGGACATTTTGATTAGCCTGTACGATGATATCACCTCTTGGGATAATTTCCGGGCCCATACAACGCAAAGTGTGACACGGAGATCCAAAGGCGCAACAGAATAGCGAAAGATGCTTTCCAGAAGTCCAGCAATTGATTAAGACACGGGAATATTTCGTTGGAAACCAAGAAAAGAGTGCTGAACTGCCATGTCATATCTATTTCCCTGTATCGCAGATGAAGCCTTGAACCAACTTTAGATATCAATACTACA